GTTTCCGAAGTTAAATTTTTCCGATTAAATTTTCGGATCAGATTATAGATACACTCGATGAAATCTATCCAATAAAATGGATTGGAAAACCGATTGTTTCGTATGTGCCCAATACACACACTGAATCTCGAATCGTCTGTAGATCTGCGTTTTCTCTTGATTGGTTGACGATTCTGACAGGGTCGTGAATAATTGCTTTTACAACCGTTTTTTATGAGCTGTACAGATGAATGATCTTTGTTCTTATACACTGAGCGCGTTCGATTTTTCTCCTCAGTCCACAAAGGTGAGGTGTGTTCGCGACGGCGCATTGCCACAAAGAAGGTGCGCGAGCGCCCTCTAGGAAAGGAATCTAACATATCGCTAATTTACTGTCTAGAAAATACAGAATTAACGAATCCTAGTTTGTAACACCGATCATATTTTCAATCGGGTATGTCCGTTTATTATTATTATGCAATTGGATTATCCGGCTACGCTTAATCGGACATTGTTCTCGGTGTAATAATTATTTTCTTCTCGCGATTCTCTCTGTGCCCTCAGCGAAACCTCGTCTTCCAGCGGTCCACCAGATCGCCTCCAACTCCCCGCAATTTATCTGAATTAAGTATCTCTCGCGATACAACTCCTTTTACCTTTTACAAACCTTCCCGTTTCGAGGGCACGCATCGTGGGGTTAATTTGGGTTTAATTTCACTCCCCCCCCCTTTGCGCGCGCGTTCGCCTCCTTTCCACTCGCTCGCGACAACACTCAGTTCCTTCGCGGCTTGAAAACTGGATATTTACGTCCTACCGCGTCCCACCGCGACCCCTCTGTCGAAAGGAAACGAAATAAAGAGTTTCCGCTCGGTTCTCTCTTTCGCTCGGCTCCTTTCCGACGTTCCTGCACGCTCTATGAACTCGGGCGCTTATTACATCAGCGATTTTCCCTTGAACCGTCGGCAGCGCGGTCTCCCTTTGTCTGGGAGGGGGGGGGGATCCTTATTTGCGATGCGCGGAAAAAAGACGACGTCGGCGTTAACTGCGAGATCCTTTCCGTGCATTTGCACTTTGTTTATCGAAACGGAAACTGGACGGACAAAAGGAAACTCGCTACGGACGCTTCCCTCGGTGTTCGTTGGATCGGAATCGATGTCAATTGTTTCGCGCGTCTCGTCGCGTAGTAAAACGAGTTGCATGAAGTTCAAGTTTAATTGCGAATTTTTCTTGATTAAGGGGATACTGGAGTGGTTCTGCACCTTTTGCACTTTTTGTCAATTCGTGTAATACATTATAAAATTATGAGGTTTCTGCGTGCAGATCGAAAGTGTCCCGCTATCCGGATTAAATCAGAGACTAGCATGGTAGCCTTGAAATTAAGTTTATAAGCCTAACAAAAAATCTATTCACTCAAATAAGTTATAGGTTATAGGTTGTAGTAGGTTGTGAATAGACTTTTTGTTAGGTTTCTAAACTTTATTTCAATGATATCATGCTGTTCTCTGATTTAGTCCGATTAGTGGAACACTCGGTCTGTACACAAAAGTACAGACACAGTCACATAATTTGTGTATTACACAAATGTTTTCGTGAATTGAGTTCTAGCAGCGAAAGGTGCAGAAATTGCAGAATCAATCACTCCAGTATCCCCTTAAGCGCAGGTTGTTCCAATTCTTTGATAAATTAACTAACAGTTACAGTATACAGGGTGAGTCGTAAAGGCTGTCCCAACCTTTTACCATAAGAGGTGAATTACCGACCGCGACTGTGGCCAACTCTGGACAAAATGGATAAAAACTCGTTCTACATGTCTCAATCGTGTAACATCTAATTACATTTCTCGAGAAATAATTACTGAGTTGGCTGCAATTGCGGTCGGTAATTCATCTCTTATGGTAAAAGGTTGGGACAGCCATTACGATTCACCCTGTACAATGTCTTCGTTTTTCCTTCAAATTGTACAAAGCTGGGCGTATAATTTAACCATTAGTTTACCAAGAGGTTGGGAAAACCGGCCCTAAGTGTGCAACGTATCTCGATAATTTCGCGCGACGCTCCCCGTTCCTCAAGACGGATTGAATTAACCGCCTTATGGTTTAGCGCAAAATTCAGGTGAAGTAAAACTCCATTCTTTGTACGGATGGAATTGTACGAGACGAGCCAGTTTTGTCCGCGCACAAAGGGGATGAAAGTTAGATTGGTAAAATAAATTAAACTCTCGCGAGTTAAAGAAGTTGATACAGGTCGGTCGATGCCACGCTAATGAAACTGCCAGAAATTTCGAGGTTGTTTTACACAGCCCCTTCACTTTTACGTATCAAGAACTTTTTTTCGTCTTTACAAGTGTAACCTCGCGAGAGGTGAAACTCGCGGCGGCCACTGAAACGCTGAAATTTAATCGAGTCTACTGCCCTGGCGCAACGCGCTTTATTTATCCTGCAATAATGGGGGGGGGGAGGGGGTGGAAGTATATCCGCTTGTGCTCAGTCGGGTTCCATAATTACGCAATGCGCCGGTAGATCAAGCTGAACTTTGTTCCCCTGCGAGAAGTTTACGAAGAGAGAATCTTGATTACTTCTCGCTTCCTCATTGCGCGGAATTGTGCTTTGACGCGCTGCGAGCTCTTTAATCGAGTGCTTATCGCAAAATTAATATTGGAGCAACGGTTGCTCCGGGAACCTACCTACTTACTGGCGGAGGGCTCGATAAAAGGAAGGTTTTACTCTGAGGCATTATAAACAAAGACATTTAACAAGGGTTATTACAATAACTCTTGGATCGTCTTTCAATAATGGAGGAACAGTGTACCGAGTAGAATCGCTCGAAGAGTAAGTACTGAGAATCGCGCGTAATTTTTTATGTTATAACGTATGAAAAATAAGTAACGCTTTCGTTGTTTCTTCACGGAGAGAATTTTCTCTTAAAATTTACCCTGGAAATGAAGTAATCGTGGGACAACGTGGCATTTTGAAGGATTTTATGTGAATTTTTTGAAACTTAACCACACATTTTTCTAGTAAAGTGTATGATAAAATTGGAAAAACTCTCAGTAGTGATGCACGGTGAGAATTTTCTCTTAAAATTCACCCTGAAAATGATGTAATCGTGAGACAACGTGGCATTTTGAAGGACTGTATGAGAGATTTTTGAAACTTAACCACACATTTTTCTAGTAAAATGTACGGTCAAATTTGGAAAAGTTATCAGTAGTGGTGCATGCAGAGAATTTTCTTTTATAATTTATCCTGAAAATCATGTAATCGTGGCGTTTTGAAGACCTTTTGAGAGTGTTTTGAAATTTAACCATACATTCTACTAGTAAAATTGCCCAGTAAACACCATACACAAGTAATAGTTACACAATATGAATATTAAAATTTCCTGAATAATAGAAAATTCAAATGAATAATAGAAAATCCTCAAATATATCCACGGTTAGAAAACATTCAAAATACGAAAAGGGAGGAATAACAGCAACAGAAATCAAAAGTCATTTTCTCGAAATTTGTTAGTACCAAGTTTTTTGACTGACACAATTTTTTCGTCAAAGTTCTTTTGACAGAGTTTCTTTAACGAAGTTTAATAAAACATTTAGACGTGCCACTTAAAATGTATGGTAAAATTTAAAAAAAATCTCACAAAATTGCCTCACGATTACATTATTTTCAGGAAAAATTTAAAGAAAAAATTTTCTCCGTGCATTATTGTCAATTTCTCCTAATTACTTAATTTCATCACATTCTCCACGCACTGCGCGAAGCCAACTTCATTCTCGAAGTTAACGCGCGAACAAGCGCGCGATGGGGCGACTGTTACGCGATGATGCGGAAAAATGGAACAGGGGTGCCAATAACAGACAGAAGTATCATCCTGTCTCGTTGACGCTTTATTTAGCGAAGTACAAAAAGGAACGAGATACGTCCCGCGCGTTCGGTGCGCTCTATAATTATATACCGGGTGGAACCCCTCGCGATGAACTTGGCTCGCACGGGCTTTACGAGGGCGAAATGATCGTCGCAATTTCTCGCCTTGTCGTTAGCGCCGACGACGCCGCGGGGTCGAATGGCACCTGGCAGAAAAAAAAATACGACGATACCGTAAAGCCAACGAGATACACGGATAACGTCCACAATAATTTTCTTCGTCGAGCTGCTACCCGCGCCGACTTTCCTTGCGCGAGAGACAGGGGGGACAAAAACGGAGGGTTACGAGTCCCTCTGCGCTTTATTTAGCGCACGTCAGTGCATCGAGAGTGCACACTTTGTGACGGGAACACGCGGGTTTACGATGCAATGAAAAGCGTAAATTCGCATTCCATTCATCTAATAATGAAGCTAAACTCATTACACAGTTTGTATGTTCACGTATAACGTTTGCTGCATGACGACTTCAAGTTTGTGAAAAGTTTCGTAGTATTTTTCGAGGTAATATTTTTCGCAACAATTAAAAAATCAGAATTATATAGACACTATAGTTTAATCTTTTCAAATTTGTGTTTATCACATGAGAGCCTTGAGAATTTTATTAACTAGAAAAATTTAGTAATTGGACACTCACAGAAATTTCCGAGTCCAATGCTATTACACTTGGATCTATCGCAAAATACGATCGCTGTAGCGACATTGATATTTATTGTTGAGAAAGGAATATTTTAATCTCAGTGGAAAATTGTTAAATCTGGAATACAATGTTGTAGACGCGCACGTTGTAATCGAGAGAAGATTTATTTTAAACGCAAGAATATCTATGGTACATAAGTTTTGTTACATAACATTATTACTGCATAAGCTTTACTCTATGTATAATTTAATTCGAGAGCACACAGTTAGGAATTAATGATTTTAACATTGTCTTAATGTTTCACTGCGTGAGATCGCGACAAGTTTAAATACGTCAAGATTTGTCTTGTTATCAGAAATCTTTCCAAGGGGGTGCAATTGAATTGCGTGCACGCACCTCCGCGCCTAGTGTTGAATTTAATGACGTGTTTACTAACTTTTTACACATTTTCTGCGTTACAGAGGAAGTGTTCAGCTCGAACAAGGCGCTCTGGTTCTCTCCGAGCGGCACTAAACTGGTCTTCGGCTATTTCGACGACTCGAGCACCCCTATTATGACCATACCGTTTTACGGGTATCCCGGAAGCTTAACTTTCCAATACACGTCGGCGATACCGATCCACTACCCCAAGGTAAGTACAAGTGAACGCCTCGTCCCGCCGCTCCGTTGTTTTCATTACGTACGATGAAGAAACACATTCCCTGGCGTTGCGATATTTTTAATTCATCCACCTTTAATTTGTCTTTAACGTGATCGGCTTTGTCGAAAAATTATGTTCATTAAATTTCAAAAGTGATAACGTGGGATTCTCTTTGGATTACAGATGCGCTCGAAGAATTTATTTAAACGGAGGTAACTTCTATAGCGCGCGCGAATAAAATAGGCTCTATGTATTTTATGCGCGATACATTTACGAGGCACTTTGCGCTTTTAATATCCGTCATTTTTAATCGATTGTCACCCCGCGTGAAAAGGCGTTCGCGCGCGAACGGGGAAGATGAAATTTTTTGCGGGGAAAACATAATGTTTCTCTAAAAGGCCGCGATTCCGGGCGTTAGACGCTCTCAGAAACGTCCTTCTCACTTTGTTGCCTCGCGAAAACCTTCGTGTCGCGTCGCCGCGCCGTCCGAGATATGAAAAGCCATCTAACCGAAGTTTATATCCTGAAAAGGTGAGAGGAGCGCGCGAGCGTGGCGTCTTTGCATTTTTCAATGTCTTTTTATGACTCGCGATTGACACCGTCGCAAAACGTCGCGGCGCGACGCAGACAACTCCCGACGTTGGTTTAACCGTTGAATGACATCTTTGTCTTCGTACGGCAAGATGGGAGATTGCTCGGATGCAAGGACAAGTAGATAAGTCTTAAAAACGACGTTCAATACCGAGCATTTGTATTAAATATTTGGTGATTAACGAAGCTGTAGTTTTTTCACACTTACTGATTTTTTTTCCAGGAACACCGCACTAGGAAAAATATCTTGTATAAACCAAAATCTTGTTTCACACGACGAAACAATTAAAATTTGCCGAGCTAAACTATTTAATTTCCGTAAACAAAACTCTATAACGTAACATTTTTGTTGTAGCAATCAAGAAAGCTTCGACAATGCAAACTTTCTTATGAAAACCGAAATGTTTGGTAATAATTTGATTACTAATACGTTAGGTCTAAATTGTGATGCTTAGAAAAGCGATATTCCACTTATTAAGTATTATTTTAGTTTATCTGAAACAAAATTTCATTGTTATTCCACTTTTCATGGATATATTAAGTAAAAGGTTAAGTTACGGTACATGAAGTTTAAGAGCAAAGTTACTTGGTCCAGAGAACAAATCGGAAAAGCCAACTGTTTTGGGTAATTATTTAGATTAACACACCCACCTCCAATAACCTTGTGCTTGACATATGTTGTCAAGGTTACCCTCCTGAGTAGCGCTCAGAAGGA